TCTGCTCCCAAGGAACAAGGGATGGGACAAGAGAAACCGGCCTCAAGCTGCACCAGGGCAGGTTTAGATGGAGCTGAGGAACAATTCCTTGCCCAGAGGGTGCTCAGGCTTTGGAACAGGCTGCCCAGGGCAGGGCTGCAGTCACCGTCCCTGCAAGTACAGTGTGGAGACGAGGCCTCAGTGCCATGGGTTAGTGGTGGCCTTGGCAGTGCTGGGGAATGGTTGGACTGGATGAGCTTAAAGGGCTTTTCCCACCTCACTGATTCTATGATCCGGGGATCCTAGGAGATCCCTGAGCCTTCATAAACCCTCTTGTGGGAGGAGGTAGCAGAAGCATCAATGCCTCCCACTCTCCCTGCCATTAGGTCTCTGCAATGTGCTAGTGCAGCACTAACAAGTCCCATGTTTTAGCTTGTGTCAGCAAGTTTAGAGTGCTATTGAGGGACTCTGGATTAAACCAAAAGCTGATGAGACCACGATTTCAAACGTGGGAGCAGCTTAATCGGGTTCTGCTGCACACTTGTCCCTGGATCTGCAGTTCGAGTGATGCTTAAGGCCATTAGAAGGATTAGCACCATGGTTATTCTGGGCTGAATGAGAACATTTGATTTCTCCAATGTGTTTCCCTCCCTGGGGCAGCATCAAACCCCTGCACTTGGTTTTTGCTGTTTGCTTAATTCAATTAGGCTTACAAACAACTGTGGGTGCTCTGAACAAAGAACAAGTGATGTGAACTCCTATAGCCTTCAACAAGTGATGTGAACTCCTATAGCCTTCAGATGTGCTGCTTGTAACAGGCATAGAGTGGAGAAGCAGCTGCAGTGCTGCCTCATGGAGGGCTGGGAGGAAAATCGAGTGTTTCTTTTAGTGATGCAGCATCCTTGTCTCTCCTTTGCCCTCTGCATCTCAGGGGAGAGCTGTGAAACTGCTCCAAGGGTGCTCTTCTCTGTTCCCTGGAGAAGACCCACTTAAATCTTCAAATCATTGAATCATGGAATAGTTTGGGTTGGAAAGGACCAGTAAGATCATCCAGTTCCAACCCCTGCCATGGGCAGGGATGCCTCACACCAGATCACATCACGCAAGGCTCTGTCCAACCTGGCCTTGAACACTGCCAGGGATGGGGCAGCCACAGCTTCTCTGGGCACCCTGTGCCAGCGCCTCAGCACCCTCACAGGGAAGGGCTTCTTCCTTACCTCCAACCTGAACTTCCCCTGTTTTACTTTGAACCCGTCACCTGTTGTCCTATCACTCCGGTCCCTAATGAAAAGTCCCTCTCCAGCATCCCTGTAGCCCCCTTCAGACACTGGAAGCTGCTCTGAGGTCTCCACGCAGCTTCTCTTCTTCAGGCTGAACAGCCCCAGTGTTCTCAGCCTGTTTCCATACAGGAGGTGCTCCAGCCCTTGATCATCCTCGTGGCCTCCTCTGGACTTGCTCCAAGAGCACCATGTCCTTCTTATGTTGAGGACACCAGAACTGCACCCAGTGCTGCAAGTGGGGTCCCATGGGAACCCTTGCTCCTCTGGATGCCCACACCCCACCAAAGCTCTCCTTATGGGGAGCACCCAGGGAGCATTGAGGAGGTTCCCCAATGTTCAGCTCCAGCTCTGCCTTGCCCTATATATCGCTTTTCCCAGCTGACAGCTTTTGCTGTCGATTGGCCGAACAGGACCCAACTGCTTTCAGCTCCCTCCTCCCTGAGGCTGGGCTCCGTGGATACGTGGCTTCCCTGGGTTAAAAACGAGCTTTTCCTCTGCGTGTGCCAAATCCATTTGAATTCCGAGCAGCCCCTTTCTGCAAAGCCCCGGCTCTTTGTGCCAGCACCAGGGAGGGAATGAGCAGCTGGGAGCGGAGGAGGCTGCTTGTGCCAGAAGTGCCAACTGCTGCCACTTTAAGGCAGTTATGAAACCCTGTGAGGGGGGGGTTGTGATGGATTGAGGCTCATCCGAGGCTGCTCAAAGGGAGGAGAGCTGCAGTCTCTGCTTGCCTGGTCCTCGGCTCGTTCCCGTTCATGCAGGACTTTGCCATAAGGGAGGATGTGGAGGGGTTTTGTGCAGTTTTAGGGCTTCAGGGCCAGGCTCCCCTACGGCTTTGTGTTGTTAAATCTCTGCTTCCGTCTGCACAAAGTGGTTTATTCCTCTGGGTTGGCTCTTCCCCATATTCCACCATCACATTGCTTTAAAAGGCCGTTCAAACACAGCATAAATCATTTATGGAATCCACCTTTCCGAGCAGGCAAATCCTGGGCTTGCCTCGGGGATGTTATTTGATCAGAGCTGGGATAGGCAGAGCTCCCTAAATGTGATGGGAAGTGAGACATCCCAAGGGAAAGCTTTTGGTTTAAATGATTTCAGGTTGATGATCAGTTGCTTTTATAATGTTCCCATCATGGGAGTGTTTAAAGGAAGCAGCTTTGTGCTGGTGCAGCTCCTTGCCTCAGCTTTTTTTCCCCAAAATAGTTTTAAAGGTAATTTTAGGCTGGGTTTTTATCTCCTTTGAAGACTTGAGGTTCTGTTATGGCTTTATTTAAAGTTATGGGCTTTATTCCCTTAGGGAAGAGCGAAATCAGTCAGAAAACAAACTCCTTCAGGATAACATCCATATAAATGATGTTCTCTGGTTGTGCTCTCAGTGGGATGGAGACACTTTGTGGATACTCCTGATTTGATCAGGGGCTGGAGCACCTCCTGTATGGAGCCAGGCTGAGAACATTGGGGCTGTTGAGGCTGGAGAAGAGAAGCTGCGTGGAGACCTCAAAGCAGCTTCCAGTGTCTGAAGGGGGCTACAAGGATGCTGGAGAGGGACTCTTCATCAGGGACTGGAGTGACAGGACAAGGGGTGATGGGTTCAGACTGAAACAGGGCAAATTCACGTTGGAGATAAGGCAGGAGTTCTTCCCTGTGAGGGTGCTGAGGCGCTGGCACGGGGTACCCAGAGAAGCTGTGGCTGCCCCATCCCTGGCAGTGTTCAAGGCCAGGTTGGACACAGAGGCTTGGAGCACCCTGCTCTAGTGGAAGGTGTCCCTGCCCATGGCAGGGGTTGGAACTGGACGAGCTTCAGCTCCTTTCCAACCCAAACCATGCTATGATTCTATGGTTATATGGTTTGTACTGGTGACACAGGACAGCGTTGGTCACAACATGACCTTCAGGATGGACACGCTCAGGGGTACAGTTCCCCATCACACTTGTGCTCCAGGCCCTGCACTAGCCCCGTTGCCCTTCTCTGGCCCCACTCCAGCACCTCAATGTCTCTCTTGCAGTGATGCTAGACAGGAACGAAGAGCTCATCTACACACAGAAGAGGAGCAGGAGCTTCCTTACTACAGCGCTGGTGCTGGGTGGAATTTCCACAGACCACGCACACCCGATCCTGGTTTCATCATTGCATTTATACACAGGAATTACAAGGTAGAACACTGTCAGTTACAACGAGTGGTTCATGATTTACATACAATCACAATATCTGCTGAGTCATTCCCTTCTGTTACCACGCTTGTGCAGAGAAAGGGTCCTCACCTGGACAAGGGGCTTCTTGATCTGTGCGTGTCCTTTGACTACTATAATGAGAGTATAATGAGGGTAGCTTGCCTAAAGGACCCCCTCATCCTGTTTTGTCGGCTGGCTACATACCTACTTTGCCAGGCTGTCAAATAACTCAGCCTATACAATAGACCCTGGGTGCTCTGGTTATGGTCCAGAGAGTAAGGACTAAGGCCGATGTGATCCGGAGAATAGGGACTTCATGCAATGCACCACTGGATTTCAAGCAGCACAGCAACCCATCCATCACTGGTGAATAAATGCTAACGTAACGTGACACGACATAACATAAGGCAACATAACATAACATTAAGATAACATAGCTAACATTAACATAACATAACTAACGTAACATAACTAACACTATCATAACTAACATTACATTACATTACACCTGGGTCGGAGCAATGCCAGGCACAGCTACAGGTTGGGCAGAGAAGAGATTCAGAGCAGCCCTGTGAAGGACTTGGGGGTGTTGGTTGATGAGAAAATGAACATGAGCCGGCTTCAGTGTGTGCTTGCAGCGCAGAAAGGAACCGTATCCTGGGCTGCATCAAAAGGAGCGTGACCAGCAGGTCGAAGGAGGTGATCCTGCCCCTCTACTCTGCACTTGTGAGACGTCACCTGGAGTATTGTGTGCAGTTCTGGTGTCCTCAACATAAAAAGGACATGGAACTGTTGGAACAAGTCCAGAGGAGGCCACGAGGATGATCAGGGGCTGGAGCACCTCCTGTATGAAGACAGGCTGAGGAAGTTGGGGCTGTTCAGCCTGGAGAAGAGAAGCTGCATGGAGACCTCATAGCAGCTTCCAGTGTCTGAAGGGGGCCTATAGGGATGCTGGGGAGGGACTCTTCATTAGGGACTGGAGTGATAGGAGAAGGGGTAACGGGTTAAAACTAAAACAGGGGAAATTTAGATTGGATATAAGGAGGAAATTCTTTTCTGTTAGGGTGGTGAGGCACTGGAATGGGTTGCCCAGGGAAGTTGTGAATGCTCCATCCCTGGCAGTGTTCAAGACCAGGTTGGACAGAGCCTTGGGTGCCATGGTTTAGTGTCAGGTGTCCCTGCCCATGGCAGGGGGGTTGGGGCTGGATGATCTTAAGGTCCTTTCCAACCCAAACCATTCTGCGATTCTGTAATGCTAACATAAAGGTGAACTCCTTAAATCAAGATGTTCCTGGAGCTGTTTCACAAACAAATACAGGAGGAGTCAGTAAAACTTAAGCTAACGTGCAGCAATGAGGGGCTCAGCGTTGAACACTGTACAAATGGCGGCAGCTGGGCCACGATGGGCAGGGCAGAGAGGTTGAGCACAGCGGCTGGAGCCGGAGCCGAGCCGAGCCGAGCCGAGCCGAGCCAAGCCAGGCGTCGGACGGGGCTAGGGCCCGGCTCCGGGTCAGGCTCCTGGAGGGCGTCTAGGCCTCGATCTGTTGCGTTGCCAAGCAACGGCGGGCCGTACGTGACGTCTCCCAACGGCCGGCGCCGGGTGATGACGTAACGGATGTGGGAGGGGGTTGTTGGTGGTGCGGGGCGCTGCGGGGATGGAGGAGAGGGAGCGGCTGTGGAGGAAGATTCGGCTGCTGCAGGGTACGGCCCGCGATGGCGGCGGGACGGGGGGGACTGAAGTGTCCATGGAGGGACTGAAGTGTCCATGGAGGGACTGAAGTGTCCATGGAGGGACTGAAGTGTCCATGGGGGGAAAGAACATGGCGGGGGGAACGACTGAGGTGTGGATGTGGTGGAGGCATGGGATGTGGGGGGGACCTGGGCCGGGGGACTGATGTGTTGATGGAGGGGAGAGGGTTGTGAAGGGGACCGGGGAGTCGATAGAAGGAGGGGTTGTGGGGGACGCCGAGGGGGTATGACAAGTTGTGGGGGGACTGAGGCGTCGATATGGGGCATGAACGGGTTGTGGGGGGGGCTGAGGTGTAGATGGAGTGGAGGGACGGGTTGTGGGAGGGACCTGGGGGTTAGGATGGGTCGTGGGGGCGTCGATGGGGGGGGAATTGAGGTGTCGGGGGGGGCAGTGGGCTGCGAAGGGGACTGAGGAGTCGATGGGGGGCGAAGGACGGCTTGGGGGGGGGGGGGGTGGGCCTGGGGGATATGAAGGGGTTGTGGGGGCGATTGAGGTGTCGGGGGTGGAGGAGAGATTGGGAATCCTGGGGGGGGGGGTGCGAGCTGTGAAGAGGACCTCGAGGTTGGGGAGTCGGGGAGGTGGGTTTTTGAGGGGGGGACCGGATAGGATCCCGGGAATGCTGGGGAGGGAAGGAATGAGGGCTGGGAAGGGCCCAAGGGAGGGGAGAGGTGGTGGGGAGTCAGGAGAAGTGGCCCAAGGCAGGGAGGGAACAGAGACCAGATATTGCTATGGGGTTTAGGAGTCCCCCCCGGGGGGGGGGGGGGGTGTGTCCTCATGCTCCTGGCCCCTCCAGGGCCTGTGACCCTTCTGCCTTTGGCTATCCCCTGCCCCACAACCCTTGGGGCCGGTGGCACAGAGGTGGGTTGTTGCCCTTTGTCATAGAACCACAGAAGGGTTTGAATTGAAGGGACCTTAAAGCTCATCCAGTTCCAACTCCTGTCACAGGCAGGAACCCCTTCCACTAGAGCAGGGTGCTCCAAGCCCCTGTGTCCAACCTGGCCTTGAACACTGCCAGGGATGGGGCAGCCACAGCTTCTCTGGGCACCCTGTGCCAGCGCCTCAGCACCCTCACAGGGAAGAACTTCTGCCTTATCTCCAACCTGAACTTCCCCTGTTTCAGTCTGAACCCATCACCCCTTGTCCTGTTGCTGCAGCCCCTGATGAAGAGTCCCTCTCCAGCGTCCTTGTAGCCCCTTTCAGACACTGGAAGCTGCTCTGAGGTCTCCACGCAGCTTCTCCTCTCCAGGCTGAGGCTCCTCGGCATGGCGGGGGAACATGAGGGGGATTTAGATGTAGATATATATTTATGTGCCCTTTCCCAGCTCTGCTGAGCATCAGCTCTTATTCTTAGCACCAACTCATTCTATTTATAGACTTCAAGGTAATTTTTCCTCATTAGTAAGGCCACAGATTCCACTCAGGCCTTGCAGGGGATCTGCCCCTGGCCTGGAGCTCCTCTGTGGTGGGGGTGGGATGAGAGGAAGGAAAACAGGGTCCTTAAGGCCTCCTCCAGGAGGGATCTGCTGACGCTGCTGTTCCACTGGCAGCTCTGTGCCACCTTGTGTAGGAATAGCTTTTCTACACTGACATGTGCCGAAAACACAGGGCTCAAACCCCCTTTGACATTCCCTTTTGTTGGAAGGGTTTTCTCAACACTGAGGCTCAACAAGTGCGCACCCTCCCTAACTGACACTTATCTATTATCCAGAAGGCGTCCTTAGGAGACCAAAGCATTGGGTGGTGGCTTGGCAGAGGGTGTGCAGTGACGCAACAGTGAAGCCGGGGCCACCTCAGAGCCTCCTTGTTGTAGGTTTGAAGAAGATACAAGAAGCTGGTGCAGGGCCTGGAGCACAAGTGTGATGGGGAAGGGCTGAGGGACCTGGGGGGTTCAGTGTGGAGAAGAGAAGGCTCAGGGGGGACCTGATTGCTCCCTACAAGTGCCTGAGAGGAGGATGGAGCCAGGAGGGGCTGGGCTCTGCTCCCAAGGAACAAGGGATGGGACAAGAGGAACCGGCCTCAAGCTGCCCCAGGGCAGGTTTAGATGGAGCTGAGGACCAATTCCTTCCCCAGAGGGTGCTCAGGCATTGGAACAGGCTGCCCAGGGCAGGGCTGCAGTCACTGTCCCTGCAAATGTTCACACACCGTGGAGACGAGGGGTCAGTGGTGGCCTTGGCAGTGCTGAGGAATGGTTGGACTGGATGAGCTTAAAGGGCTTTTCACCCTGGTTGATTCTATGGTGCTGTGCTTTGCGGTTGTTGCTGGTGGTGCCTGTTCTGAGCCACATGACTCGCCCTCAGATCCTGCTCTGAAGATACTTCTAGAAACAAAATCAGCATTTTTGTAGATCAGGCTCCAAACCTCATAATTCACACATCCATCTGGCACCTAGAAAAGAGCAGAAAGGGGCAAAATGTGGCTGAGAGCACACGTGAGGTGTGTGATGGGTCTGTTAGTGTGTCTGTGGTTCAGACCTGCTTTGGGCTTGGACTAAACTCCTGTGAGATCACTGTTGTTGCTGACTTCCATGAGGATGGAGGGAGTTTTTCCTTCCAACAGTTATCTGAAATGAGGTTTGTGTGGAGTGATCCTCATTGCAGCATGAGGAAAAGCAGAGCTGTGGTGCTGTCAGACTCCCATGGGATTGGGGATGAACAGGTTCCCAGTGTGTTGGGATTGATGCTGTCAAACTCCCATGGGTTTGGGGATGAACAGATCCCCAGTGTGTTGGGATTGATGCTGTCAAACTCCCATGGGTTTGGGGATGAACAGATCCCCAGTGTGTTGGGATTGATGCTGTCAAACTCCCATGGGTTTGGGGATGAAGAGATCCCCAGTGTATTGGGATTGATGCTGTCAAACTCCCATGGGTTTGGGGGTGAACAGATCCCCAGTGTGTTGGGATTGGTGCTGTCAAACTCCCATGGGTTTGGGGGTGAACAGATCTCCAGTGTGTTGGGATTGATGCTGTCAAACTCCCATGGGTTTGGGGGTGAACAGATCTCCAGTGTGTTGGGATTGATGCTGTCAAACTCTCATGGGATTGGGGATGAACAGATCCCCAGTGTGTTGGGATTGATGCTGTCAAACTCCCATGGGACTGGGGATGAGCAGATCACCCATGTGTTGGGATTGATGCTGTCAAACTCCCATGGGTTTGGGGATGAACAGATCTCCAGTGTGTTGGGATTGATGCTGTCAAACTCCCATCTGATTGGGGATGAGCAGATCACCCATGTGTTGGGATTGGTGCTGTCAAATTCCCATGGGATTGGGGATGAGCAGATCACCCATGTGTTGGGATTGATGCTGTCAAACTGCCATGGGATTGGGAATGAACAGACATTGTCTTCTCCTCCTTAGGTCTCATCAATGACCACAAGAACACACACGGGGATGCGCCGCTGCCATCCCAACCACCGAGGTGGAACCCCTCCCGGCAGCCTCCCTTCAGCAGGAGGGGGGCATTTTTGGCCAGGTACCCTCAGCAAGCTCCAGCAAGGGATTTCCAGCAGCGCCAAGGTCATTCCTGGAGGAAAAAATATTCCCTTGTGAACCGGCCACCGGGAGCAACGTGTGATGTTGGGAGCAGTGGAAGTGCCAGCACGTCTCAGGCTTTTGGAAGCTATAGGGACAACCAGGCCTCTGAGCCACCAGAGTCATCTCCAGAGAGACATGTGGACCTAACCACTGATGGTAACATAGTTGTGGGGATCCAGCTGCCCCACAGGGCTGCCCAGTTTGGAGATTCCAAAGAGTTTCCTGATGCTGGTTCTTGCTGCAAGCTGGAAATGGTGGTCACAGCTTCAGGTGACAGGAAAAGGGTGCCAAAATCTCCATCTGTGAGCCAAAATGAAGGGAGGAGACCTTCTCTCTCTGTTTCCTTCACTTCATCTCACAGGTTTGTGAGTTCAGCCTATGTGAGTGTGGCAGATGAGCCCAGAAGAGTGCTTATGGCTGGTGACATGGCTGGGAGCTTCCCAGTTTCCTCTGGAAGCACCAGTGAAAGCGCCGTGACACTGAAATCAGAACCTCAGCAGCCTCCAGTGTTGCCAGACCGTGACCCAGCTCAGTACTTGGTGTGGAAGAAGGCAGAGCCACCAGCTCCAGGGCAGTCCAGCTGTGAGCAAGACAGGGATGCTTCCAGAGAGACAAAGCTCCTGGGAAGTGGTGAGCCTTGCTCCAGACCTACTGTGACTTCGGTGATTGGGATGACTCCAGTGAAGGGCAGGTTTTCCACAGTCTCCAAAGCTGTTGGTCACCTAAGAGCTGCCTCAACCCCCATCTCCAGCAAAGCTCCAAAGTTCAGGAAAGCCAATTACACATGGGTTGCAAACCCTGGTAAATGCTCTCGTGCTGTGAAGAGGTGGGCGAGCCCTAGAGCTTCAGAAGGTGCTAAGAGGGTCACTGGTGGAGCAGACAGAGGTGCTAAAGTGTCACCCAAAGCAGACTTGGGCGCAAAGGTGAAGAAATCAGGACTTCAGGCCAAGCTGGGGGTCTCTCCCAGCAAATACAAGTGGAAAGCCACCAGCTTGCAGACCTCACCCTCCACCTCCAAGTCAGCATTCAGGTGGCGGTCAGAGGATCAGCAGAAGCCTCCAGCCTCCAGCCTGCCTCTAGCCAGTGCTGTCTGCACACCTCTGAGTGCTGCATCTGTTGGACTTGGTGGGGTGAAGTCCTCCTTTGGTGACACCACACTGTCCAGTTACAAAGTGAAGAGTCGGACCAAAATCATCAAGAGAAAAGGCAGCTTGGGGTAAGTTGGTGGTTGTTGGTGGTGCTGGTTGTATTTTGTGTCTGCTGGCTTCATGTAAGTGCCTATAAGTGAAATTCCAATGAGGATTTCTGTCTACTAGAGGGACTGTTTGCCTTCCTCTTTCCAAGTGCTTTGTTCTGTTTGGAGACATCCTATTTTCCAGGCTTGGAAGCTCTCAGGTTTTAATTGCTTTCGCAGTTTCTGTCTGCTTCAAGCTTTGAAACAGGAGCTGGGATTTCTTCTCATCTCCCACTCCTGTTCTTTGCTGCAGCACATGGGAGGCTCCTCCCTGACCTGAATAACACACTCATGTTCAAAGGGAAGGAAATGGCTGTTTGATAACCACTTGTGTTGGGGGCTGGGGAAAAGAGAAGTGGCTTGAATCCTAGAATTAGAATGGTTTGGGATGAAGGGACCTTAAAGCCCCGCCAGTTCCAACTCCTGCCACGGGCAGGGACACCTTCTACTAGAGCAGGATGCTCCAAGCTCCTGCGTCCAGCCTGGCCTTGAACACTGCCAGGGATGGGGCAGCCACAGCTTCTCTGGGCACCCTGTGCCAGTGCCTCAGCACCCTCACAGGGAACAGCTTCTGCCTAAGAGCTCATCTGAGTCTCCCCTCTGGCAGGTTAAAGCCATTCCCCTTGGCCTGTCCCTACAGGCCCTTGTCCAAAGCCCCTCTCCAGGTTTCCTGCAGCCCCTTTAGGCACTGGAGCTGCTCTCAGGTCTTCCCTTCACACAGCAGAGGGGCAGGATCCCCTCCCTGAGCTCACGCTCTGGGGGTTCAGCCCAGCACACGGGGGGGGGTTCTGGGCTCAAGTGCACACTGAAGCCTGGTCATGGGGAGCTTCTCCTCACCCAACACCCCAAGTCCCTCTCCACAGGGATGCTCCAATCAGACTGTGTTTGTGCTGCGGATTGCCCCAACCCATAATCCATGACATTAACTCTTTAGAATGTATGGTCTGTCCCCGTAAACCATTGCACAGACCTTGGGGTGAAGTGTGGACAGGAGATGATCTCTGTCCATGATGCTCTACGGGTACTCTACTCCCTTTAGTTGCCATCCCTTTGTGCTGTCCACCTGTAACCCAAAGCATCCTCCCTGCAGGCTCTTACTCTTCCTTATCCTTGTCAAGTCAGTGACAGCTGTGGCTGTTGCAGCCACCTCAGGAGAGTGTCCTGTGCCAGAGCAGCAGATAACTCCTAGGGTCATGTGGAGCAAGTTCTCCCCCCTGTCTGTGTCTGATAGGAACAGAGTACAATGGGGAGGTTATAAATGAAGCTTGATGGAAGGAAAAGGTGTGTGGGCTGAGATATCTGCAGAAAGGGTTTGCACTGGGCTGGGAGTGAAGGGGAGCAGATAAAGAGATTGGGACCAAACTGTGTCTGAAAGCCAGTGTGTTGTGCAAGTGCTGTGAGGGCTTCGTTTCACTGTGCTCCCGGTGAGATAGCTGAGTTTGTGCTACCTTTCTCAGCAGGGCTGGAAGCAATCCCAGCCTGTGCTGCAGGGGAGGGAAGAGGAGGGAATGCTGCCCCTCTACTCTGCTCTTATGAGACCCCACTTGCAGCACTGGGTGCAGTTCTGGTGTCCTCAACATAAGAAGGACACGGAGCTGTTGGAGCAAGTCCAGAGGAGGCCACGAGGATGAGCAGGGCCTGGAGCACCTCCTGTATGGAGACAGGCTGAGAACATTGGGGCTGTTCAGCCTGGAGAAGAGAAGCTGCGTGGAGACCTCAGAGCAGCTTCCAGTGTCTGAAGGGGGCTACAAGGATGCTGGAGAGGGACTCTTCATCAGGGACTGGAGTGATAGGACAAGGGGTGATGTGTTCAAAGTGAAACAGGGGAAGTTCAGGTTGGAGATAAGGCAGAAGTTCTTTACTGAGAGGGTGCTGAGGTGCTGGCACAGGGTGCCCAGAGAAGCTGTGGCTGCCCCATCCCTGGCAGTGTTCAAGGCCAGGTTGGACACAGGGGCTTGGAGCACCCTGCTCTAGTGAAAGGTGTCCCTGTCTGTGGCAGGGGTTGGAACTGGATGATCTTATGGTCGTTTCCAACCCAAACCATTCTATAATAAATGGGATGGGGTGAGGGTTGATGGCAGCTTTGTGACCTTTACTCTCCCACTGAACTCACAGAAACCCTCAGTATAGTGGACAAGTGGTTCGGCTCCTTTCTCACTGCTGTAAAACCAGTTATTGAAATACTGAGCTATTGAAAACTGAGGACTGTGGCCTTAATAATGATTCTGTTTGAAGTAGTGAGCTGGTAACATGGCACCAATTGAGGATCTGGTGCCTCAATTCTGCTGTTTCCCAGATCCTCTGCTTGGTGCTTCACCATAAGTTTCCACCCTTCTCTTGCCCTCCTGGTTTGCTTGAGGATGTGTCTATGAGTGGAATGTGCTGGGAGGGTCACTCTGGAGCAAGGTGCCTGTATAGGCTGGGATTGTTTGGGGTGTTTTGGCAGTTGGGGAGGTGAGACCCCTCCTCATCTTGCTAAAGTCCAGCAGGACCAGGGCACTATTGAGGCCACACCTTGTATCTTGTGTCCCCCACTACAAGAGGGACCTTGAGGTGCTGGAGCGGGGCCAGAGAAGTGCAACGGAGCTGATGCAGAGCCTGGAGCACAAGTGTGATGGGGAACGGCTGAGGGACCTGGGGGGTTCAGTGTGGAGAAGAGAAGGCTCAGGGGGGACCTGATCGCTCCCTACAACTGCCTGAGAGGAGGATGGAGCCAGGAGGGGCTGGGCTCTGCTCCCAAGGAACAAGGGATGGGACAAGAGGAACCGGCCTCAAGCTGCACCAGGGCAGGTTTAGATGGAGCTGAGGAACAATTCCTTGCCCAGAGGGTGCTCAGGCATTGGAACAGGCTGCCCAGGGCAGGGCTGCAGTCACCGTCCCTACAAGTGTTCACACACCGTGGGGACGAGGCCTCAGTGCCATGGGTTAGGGGTGGCCTTGGCAGTGCTGGGGTAATAGTTGGACTGGATGAGCTCAAAGGGCTTTCCTAGTCAAAACCATTCTATGATTCTATCCTCTCTCCTACATCTCTTGAGCAGAAAGCAGAAGGGATTGGTAGAGTTGTTAGAGCCTTCATTCTTCATCTGTGCTTTGCAAGAAACTCCTCACTTGCCTTTTTACTTGGAATTCTCTGGTCAGTGTTTCTTACCACCCTTGGTCTTGGAGCAGTGAGGAGCTCAGTGATAGGAGCTTCTCTTCTCAGCTCTGGGATGGGTTTTGGTCACCTCTTTACTCTCTTCTAACTCTGTGGTGTTCCCTTCACAGCTTCCCAACAGATAAGAAGAGCAGCTTCTCACCCACCACACCTCTGAGGAGCCACTTCCATCTCAGGAAGAAGAACTCCTTGAGGGGCAAACCTTCTGTGACATCAAAGCGTTCCTCACCCAGGGGCCTGGTGCACATCACCAAACACAGGCTCTGCAGGCTGCCAGCCACCAGGATGCAGGCCTCCACCAAGGAAGGTAGGACTAGCCATCCCAAGGGATGATGTTTGCTGTGAGTGCTGGTGAAGCAATTCCAGGGGAAGCTTTGGGGTTTGGAAATGAGTTATGGAGTCCTGCCGCAGGTGTGTATCTGCTGTTGGTGGTCCTGGAGCAAACACTGAGGTGATGTTTGGCTGGTGTAGGGCTTCTGCCTTACCCAGGAGATGTGTTGTGCTTTGACATCTCCAAACAAGGCCATTTGAAAGCTGCTTCTTGGTTTCAGTGTGGTTTTGCTGGACTTGAAGGCATCAAACAGGAAGGAGGAGAATGGCAGGGGCAGTAATACATCTGTAAGACTAGTATCTATTGCATGGGGCAAAAGCTTGTCCATACCATGAGGTGCTCTTCTAGGAGCTATGAACTTACCTAGTGCACCCATATCTCAGTGCCGTGACTGCAGGCATGTAGTGATTTGCCTAAAATAGCAATAATTAGAGGAAAACCGGATCCATTGGGTTTTAGTTTGTGGCTGTGTCCTGCTGCCTTGGCTTGGCAATGGTCAGAGCCGAAATCAGAGGCTTAAAGAGCTGCACCTATTTGTGTGTGACACGTTTCTGTGATGTTCCTGATTCTGCTGTTCAGTGGTGACATTGTCACAGACAGTTTGTGTTCAGACAAAGAGCTGTGTTGTGTTGTTGCTGTGTTTAGATGGATGGAAAGATGAATGGAAAAGAAGAATCAGGAAAGGGAAAATCTTTCTGTAGGAGGAGAAGGAAGAGAGTTTCTTTTTCATGTGTGTGTTTAAAGAGGAATTGGAGGGGTGGGGAGATGCTGGGAGGAGAATTTTGGATCTGGATTTAGGAGGCAGGCAGGGGAAGGAGAATTAAGATGTACACTTGTGCAGTTGAGTTGATGGTCCAGCATTCAAGGAGTTCTTTGGCTCTGGGGCTCAATCTTCCTCTGTTTAAGGATGTCATCAAACCCTTTGGTGCCTGGAGAGGCATCTCCAGACACTCTGTTGGAAGCTGTCATGCAGTGTGTGAAGGCAGCACTTGTGGTTGGAAGTCTTGGGTGCATTTGTGCTGTCGTTGCTCATCTGTGATGTCTCAGACCAGATGTGGTGGATGCCACATGTGGCCAGATCCAGCTGTGACAGTGATGTGGGGGCAACAAGGCTTTTCCTCCTTAGGTGATAGTGATGTCTGGGGTGGGGAATGCAGCTCTTCAGCATCACAAGAACTGCCCACTGCTTATTGTGGATGAATTGAGGACTCAAGCCTCACAAAGTACTTGGGGGAACCTTTCTCTAGTATGGCATGATCAGTACACACCACTGAATGAATCTTTATGCTGTAAAGCTCTTTTATAAAGGGCTTGGTGCTTGCTGAGAGCCTGATATGAGCAGTTCTGCTGTAGACAGAGCAATTTGGGTTTGCAACAGCATTTTGTGTATGAGGAAATGGAGTTTTCCTGCTGCTTACAGAGATAGGAGCTGTTTGGATGATCCAGGAACACACCTGAGGTTAAACCTGATCCTTGTGCTCCATGTAGCTCCATGTTTACACCTGGATTTGTGCTGCTCCGTGGAGTTTGCTCAGCTGTGTGTGTCACTGAGGAGGTCACAGCACCAACAGGAGCTCGCTTCCCTTGGCAAACATCTCTGCTTTGTGGAAGCTGTCAGTCAAATTGTGCCCAACCAAGGGAAGATGCACATAGGTTAAGAATGTACAAAATGGATCCAAATCTTCTGCTCCCCAGGAGCCTCCCATTGCTGCTACCAAAAGCCTGTGTTTTTTTGGGAATGTGTTTCAAATCCTCGTTCCATAATTGAAGGTAATGTTCCCATCCTGAAAAAGATGTTTGCTTTTAAACAACGTAGGACTGAAAATATGCAGACAGAGCAGAAATCAAGTTGTGCTCCTGGTTTTGCTCAAAGTAAAGGTGACAAATAAGGATGTTTACGGAAAAAAAATGGGATATAGTTTTGGAAGTGACTCTTTTTCTTAGCAAGCTGTTGTAGCTGCTGTAAAAATGTGTCTTGGTTTGGTTCTTATAAGCACTAAAAGCAAAAGGAAATGCCATCCCTGCCCTTTCCTGTGCCTGTATGTGCATGTGCTTGTGTGAGCCTGCTCCTCCTCACATCCTAAATGCCACAAATCCTTCTTTTCCCTGTGCCTCTCTGTGGCAGTGGGAGAATGGACACTGATGCCTTAGATGGTGAATTGAAAATGCTGCCCCTCTCCAGGTTCCTTGTAGCCCCTTTAGGCACTGGAGCCAGGCTTGTGATTCCATGGATGGATGTGGTCATGCTGGAGCCTGGATCCGCTGGACCCTCATGGCAGTGTGGTGGGTGAGCTTGCAGCAATGCTGCATTCCCAAGATCCCACTCTGGGATGCAAACAGCGCGCGTGTCAGGGCTGAGGATGGGAGGAAACCTGGGGAGGAACGTGCAGTGCTTCACGCACTGAGTGTTGCTGCAAGAAGCTGGGTCAGCTGCTTCCTTCGCAGCTTTGCTGTTTTCCTGTTTGTCCTGTTCAACAGGCTTTTGGGATACGTGGCACAAGCACAAACTGAGTTCCTGCCTTTCCCAAGTGTGTAACACAAAGGCTTGTCCATCTCTTGCCTCTTCCATTCCCTTTTTGAACCCACCTGGACCTCTTTGATCTTAGCTCTTCCAGCCACTGCTGAGACTCGGTTTCAAAGTGATGTTTCCTGATGCTTTGTATTCAGAGGCAGTTCCCTCTGTGGCATTCACTGTGGTTTCAGTTAAGGATCAGTGATCCTTAGAGGGATAATGGGAAGTGGCAAAGTGGTAGCAGTTCTCTTGGGATCATTTGTGCTGCTCCCCTGATGAGTGTTACACCTGCAGCTATTATCAGCTTAACCCCAAAATACTCCTTTGATCAAGGTGAACATTTAGTAAGCACTCGGCAACTGGGGAATGTCCTAAATGGAAGTTGTTCTGATGGGATCAGAGAGCAGTGAAGCATTTCTAATGCAGTCATGCTCTACTCACTCAGGTATTTTAAGCTGGGGTGGAACGTGCACAGGAGGAGCTCAAGTGCAAAGAGGAATAGAACGTTATGTTGCTCACTAGAGCCAAACGACTGTTGACTGTTGAGATGTTGGACTTCTTGACCACATCGTACTTAATATTAATGTGCCATTAATATTAAAGAAATCTTTTTTTTATTCTTCTACGTCTTTCTTCCCATTTAACTTTTTAGGCTCTTTTTGGAGGGAAGGAGAACTCGGAGGTAATTGCTTTGCTGGGAGGAGTTGTGACTCCACTGAGGTAGTGTCTCCCTGCTTTGGGCATGGACATGAACTTGATGAAGCCACTGACCTTCCCTTCTTTGAACTGACTTCTGCACAGGATCTGCTTCATCCAGCACCTGCAGATTTCAGGCCTCACACATATATTTATCCATAGAAGGTGCAGATGAGATTGTGTTGTCTGGTGTAGGCAAAACGGTTTGGGTCTGAATCAGGGGTCTGATACAAGAGGGATAAAAGACAGCGGTTGCTTCTCTCCTTATCCAGGGAAGGATATTCAAGGCCAGGTTGGATGGGGCTTGGAGCAACCTTCTCTGGTGGAAGGTGTCCCTGCCCGGGGAGGGGACTGGAACTGGAGGAGCTTCAAGATCCCTTCCAAACCATAGCATTCTCTGAAAAGCTGATCCAACAAAGATCACCAGGCTGCTGAATATGGTCCTCAGGCCACTGGTGTCACTGTTGCTTAGAGATACACCCTGTTTAAATACAGCCTGAAGTTAACGTTGTGATTTCATAGCATCATTGAATGGTTTGTGTTGGAAGGGGCCTTAAAGCTGGTCCAGTTCCAACCCCTGCCATGGTCAGGGACACCTTCCACTAGAGCAGCTTGCTCCAGGCCCCTGTGTCCAGCCTGGCCTTGAACACTGCCAGGGATGGGGCAGCCACAGCTTCTCTGGGCACCCTGTGCCAGCGCCTCAGCACCCTCACAGGGAAGAGCTTCTGCCTAAGAGCTCATCTGAGTCTCCCCTCTGGCAGGTTAAAGCCATTCCCCTTGGCCTGTCCCTACAGGCCCTTGTCCAAGGCCTCTCTCTGGGTTTCTTGTATCCCGTTTTTTATATTTCTTTCTTCAAACATGTATTTTCATGTATTTTCCAATGATTTCCTATAATTGGAATTCTTTTTACAGCCTGAACTTTAAATTCCCCTGTTTATGTGTAGGAGTCCCATTGGGGTTGTTGCTGGGCTCTGCCCTCATACTGGAGAGCTCCTGAGATACAATCCGCCTTTCTGGATGCAAGGAGCAGGGGGAGGCCAGCCTATAATTAAGATGTGGGTGGAATTTCCGTGGATGCAATTTCCCAACCACTTTCTTTTGGCATCTGAGCCAAAGGATTTGATTTGGAGATTACATAATGGACTCCTCTTCTGTCACTGCAGTGAGAGTATGTTGGAATTCTGTTGTCTACAAGCAAATGTCTCTCCTGAATTGGCTTTCTGGGGCTTATTTGGTAGAGGGGATTGTCAATATAACCAGATCTTGGTGCCTATGTTGGGATGATAACCAGTTCCTGTTGTGCTCTTTGGCCATGTGCTGTCCCATTCACTAGGGCAACCTTTATCTGCTTCCTCCAAACTGGAGATGGGGTTATTCCCAAGCTGTGATCAGGATATGACCTTTTTATCAGCAGTTTTAAGTGACAATATCAACCTTGAAGGATGCTTTGACTCATCCCGCAGGATGTGCCTCTTCCTCCTGTACTCGTGGATGCAGGGATCCCTCTCTTATCCAGCAGTTTTTTGCTCCCAGCTCTGGCTGGTGCCTGTTTGACATCCTGCAGGACGAGGCTCTCAACTCTTGTTTTTAATGGCAGACAGCTGAGGGTTTGCAGTTGTGAACCTTTCCTCGCCCTTCCTAAAAATCAATGCCATTGCCCTCCTTTGGCTGCCGCAGCTCTTGTGCATCACCGCTGTGCTGTAAGGGTTCATCCAGTGGGAATTCCGCATGACAATGCTGTCATTTCTTATTCCCAGGGCTTTTTCTC